ATAGTCAAAATTCCTATTTTCTAAAATATGCTTACTTTACGTAACACCGATATCTCGAAAACTAATCGTCCGATTTAACATTTTGCTATATGACCTAATAGTAGGATAGCCGGCAATATTAACGGGTATGTGATCGTTGCAATGGATAATTTTCACATAAAAGAATAGCTCATAGTTACCTTTAAACTAAATGGATGGGTGGCCTCGATTCTCATGGCCGCAACCCTTTGATGGCTGGGCGTAAACTACCCCTCTTTTTCCGAAGGAACAATGTTATCGTTTCAATAGCTGAAAATTGGTAGATATATTCTTTAATATGTCTTCTCAAATAATACATAGGGTGGCCTCGATTTTGATGGCCGGAAATGATGGCAACCCTCATTGAAAGTCGAGCGCACGCGTTATTTTACTTACTAAATACAAATTTTTGAAAGTGACAGCGTCCAAAGTCACATTTATAGTTAAAAGAGGACTCTGTGAAGAGGATTTTGCATACGGCTGTAGGTCTTTAGACGAAAAAGAAACATGAAATTGTGTTGATAAAGTGTTTGCCGCATATGATGAGAACCCCCTACACCGCAAGGTACTTATTTGTTGCGCTTACGGTTCTTGAAGTATCTTTTTATAAAACAACTTTACGGCCATGAGAATCGAGGCAACCCATCCATTTGGTTTAAAGGCTACTATGAACTATTGCTTTATGTAGAAATTATCCATTGCAACGATCACATACCCGTTAGTATTGCCGGCTCTTGGACTATAAAGGGAGAGTAACGAGCTATCGAACGATATGTAATGACTCAAATAGTGCCTTATTTTGTTTCCCCCTCCAATCCCCCGATACGTATTTGAGACCTTCCTGATATTAGGGAATCCAAACCACGTGACTTTTGCCAACCAGCCGGCATTTTGAAATTTTTATGAGGTTAGAATACGGGTTGTTACATGTCAACGATGTCAGTATTGATAAAGCCTAGTACTCATAACAGCGAAATTCGCTGTTTTTTGACATTGTTTCGACAATTTGACGTTTTATGTGTGAATCAAAAGTCAAAAAAGAGCGAATTTCGCTGTTATGAGTACTAGGCTTAATCCCGTCAAAATGAAAACATATGTTTTTTGTTTATTATTTGCCAACCAGACGCCATTTGGACAGGTCGTTGGATTGCCTAAGCACTAAGCCTTGCAGGACTCCGCTATGTACAGAATGTCGAGTCGAGTAAGGGCCGCTAAGTTTAGCTGATACGTAAGATCGCCTAAGAAATCTTGGATCCAACCCAATACGTTGTTACGTATTCCCCAAAATGCTGAAGTTTGTATAAAATACGATTGATTGAAACTTTATCAAAAGCCTTTTCAAAGTCATACGACGTCAATAGATTGCCCATTGTCATTCCTTTTCGTCCATAAATCGAAACATGTTAGTATTATTAGGTTGGTTTCATAGTTGATCTTTTAGGCAAAAATCCATGCTGTGAAGACGGAAGGATTCTATTGGAAAGTTTGTCAGTTCTTTGGCTACCACTTTTTCCATAGATTTGCACGTGTTACAAGTGAGACTTATAGGACGATAATTTTTTACTAGAGTCTAGCCGTCACAGCCGGAGCAAACCCGATAATAGCCGAACCCGCAATTTTTATCAAAACAAAATTACAAGTACCTACATTTTACAAGATAATAATTATTTGTAAAAATATAACATTTTTTGTAGTTTGGATTTAGGATAGTAGTATAGAAAAAAACCAACAAGTAAAGTCCGTTTTTTAGTTTATGTATGTTTGTCCTATTTTTTAATATTTTTAGAGAGGACAGAGGTATCAGCCGGCGTATCGCGTTCAAATATTCCAGATGATCCAGAAAAAATCTGCAGTAGATATTCGATTCAATCTTAATGAACGTTAACAATGTGGAAAGTTATATAGGGTGGTAGGACAGGCATTTGCCAATAAACCCAGTATTGATCACTTTAAAACGAAAACAAAATTAACTACTCCGCTTACTTACAAATGAGCGAAAAAAAGTACAATTACTCCACAGAGAAAATTTATTTAATTTATTTCAACAAAAAAAAAATGCAAAAATCAGCATCTAATCTTCAACGTCCTGAAAGCAGTGTATTTATTACATTACCGAATATACGCCTTTCTTCGAATTCAATGCGCTCGGCTCGGCTTTTGGCTACAGTCGTAGTTGCTCCACATGTGATGGCTAGACTCTAGTTAATTTTTTGGAGAATGCTTGTGGTCTTTTTTATGAATCGGAATGATGTGGGCTTCTTTCCATTTTTCCGGGAATCTCTCGCTACTCGTCATTGCGTGTGCAAGAGGCGAGCTGATAGATTTTACACATTTTTGCAAAAATATTGTTGGAATGTTGTCAGGACCTGGGCTAGAATGTTTCTTGAGGGCGAGAATCGACTACTCAACGATGTCTGGGGTGAAAACAACAGATGATAGGATTGCATAGTTTCTTAAATTGGCTAGTCGAAGGTTCTCGTGTTAACACTTTTTCAAAGTGATCAGCAAATACCTCTGCAGTGGTAAAATTGTCGGTAATGATTTACTCAATGCGTTTGTCCCTTAGAGTTATTGTAGATAAGTTCGAGTGGAGATTTCGTCTGATATATGAAAATAATTTTTTGTCTGAAGATATTGCTAAGTCGCTTTTATATGCTTTTCCAGCCTCTCCTATTTCGGTTTTCAAACTGCTGTTCGTTCTTCGATATGATTCAGCTGTTTTCGTTGCCGTTTCTTTTGTACCTGCCTATCCCAAAGCTTCCTTATGTTTTTTATATGACGAAAATTGAATTGTTGAGATATGGCTTGCCATGATTGACCTTCCTGGTTTTAAGTGGAATGTGCCGTTCAATAAATAGCCTCTGGCAGAAAATTTTTGCACGTTTGGTAATTAAAATGTTTTTTTGGTGAGGTAATAGCGAGGGTAATAAATTCACTAAGTCTGATAAATGTTGGTTGATTGCGTCATCATAGTCAGCAGTCCAGAAGTTTTTTTTCTTAACAGAATGAGTCTCTTCAAAGTATGCATTCAATTGTGCATTTGCTCGTATGACTAGATGATCCTATAGAGGGTAGATGTGTAAAAGTTTTTTGTTATTTACTACTGCTAAGTCAAGAAGTGAATGATGGGTTGGTACGTACCTAAGCATTCATTCTTTGATAAATATCAAGAAAATCGCTGGATGCTAAAATGTGTTAGCGTTAAACTTTTCCACTCAATCTCGGGGTAGTTGAAGTCGCCAAAAATAAAGGTGGGCACTGGTAGCGCCATTGCAATATCCATATTTTTTAAAAGGGCTTCTTGCGTTAGGTAGTTGGGTCTATAGATACATGCAATAAGAAGATTTTGTTTGTTATTCTGATCGCCAACCATAAAGAACTTGTATTAGAAATAACTTCCAACTTAGAATCCACTGTAGCGAAAACCTTGTTACCATTTAGACTCTCCTCTACATAAATGCAAAACTCACCTCATTTTTTATTTTCTCTGTAGTTTTAATAGTTATTTATGATATAAGTGTTAAAAGTACATTTTTAAGGCACGCATGTGAAAGTTTGCAGAATGAGCGAAGCGAATTCTGCAATTCACATAAGTGCCTTAAAAATACTTTTAACACAAATATCATACAATATTTTTTCTACAAACGGCAATAAAAAGCAATAACCACTAACAAATTGGATTTTTAAATGAATAATAAATTGGAATCATCTTTCCTACATAAAATTCTTGAATTTGACATTTGTCAAAAAATCCATACAACCAGCACCTTGTTTTACAGGTAACGAAATGTCTTGTCAGTTTCTTGAAAGTATGTCGTGGTCAGGAATGCTTTTTGCTAAAAATGCAACAAAATACAGAAGAAAAAGAGAGGTGCATCGATCCTTCGGAAAATATAGATGAGGCGGCCAATCGGGCTACCTCAGTTGTTCAAATTTCACCATTAATATCAATGTAAATAACTAAAAATACAAACTTTTTTTGACGTCCGCTCTCAAAATTTGATGTTTCACTTTTAACACTAGTGCTATAAAGACTTTATGGCACTAGTGCGATAAAGTAACATTTTTAATGCTTCGGGGCGGTGTTAAAAATTGCATTTTTAACACGTTTGTAGAAAAAATAATTTATGGTGTGAAATGTTTATTAGAGAGTCTGGACTAGAGCAGTGAAGCCTGGTCTCTATTATCAATATAAATGTTGGGTTTGATGATGCTATGGATATTCTTAACCCGGGATCGGTCGCTACCCTTCCTATAACGCGTTCGGTCACGTGTTAGATTTTATCTAACACTAAAAAAAAATTTCGGAATCAAAACTTAAACTTAAATTTGATAAATGCAATTAAGTCTTGGTATTTCAATCGTAGTTGGTCGCGTAGTTAGATTTTTTCTAACAGGTAAGCATACACTGAGGTCGCGTGTTAGAATTTAACTAACATCTCAGTCATCTTCCCGATATGGCTAACCCTTTTGAGCCAGCTAAATGCCGATTTGCCATGAGCTTACATAGGACCTCTTCCAGGCATTTCGGGAGGGGGAATGACCCAACGCCACTATTCTAAGTTTTATGGGCCAAAAACTAAAAATGTTAGATTTTTTCTAACACCGCGACCGATCCCGGGTTAATTCGTCAATTTTTGTCATGATAGAATTTAAATTGGTATAAAAGAAGGAAGCTTCTTTAAGAGGAATAATTAGTTTTTTGAGGCGTTGTTTTGGGTTTGAGCCCTAACATATTCCTCAACAATCCTTGGACAGCCATTGAAGTATTTAATTTTCACGTTGATTTCACCAGGCTATTGTGGTTTTTACAAAGCAACTGATTACACTGAATAGTACGATATGTCGAGTATATCACTGCGTAGTAGTTAAAAATCACTTGTATACTACCCCATTGGTCGTTTTATTTTACAAACTCATAATTTAGATTTAAACAAAATGCAAGAAATATAGCAATTCAATTTATATTACTTGAATATTAAGCAGACCAGGATTACCAATTTGCTGAAGTTTTAGTGCTGATTATTTTCAAACATGGTACATTTCAGAAGCTGAGTAAAAAATTATGGATAGGGTGCTCCTGGCTAGTCTTATATAAAAAAATCTAAACATAAAAATTAAGTATTAGGTACTCCCATGTGACACTCTTGTAAGGGCAACATAACTAATTTTAGTAGGTATATCATGATATCCTATAGGTCCAGCTTCGCAGTCCGCACAAGTCAGGAACTTTGTATTCCCCACAGCATTAGAAAAACCTACATTGTAAAATGTAAACATATCTTTTACCACCCAAAACAGGGATGTGTGTTCCGTTTCTGGATTAGCATCATTGTTTTTGGTTTGTGTTATTAGCGGCAAATCGAACTAAAAGATAATAATTGGTTTATTGATAGTTTTAAAGGGCTTTATTGAAAATTTACCTCGAAATTCTGAAAACATGCACTGGAAGGGGTTAATATTACAGAAGAACAAAATTTACATTTTATTGCCCTTTTGTTTTGTCCATCTTCAATTTCTGATTCATAATTGACACTGCAGTCTGGCATAATTGGTTTTTTTTTATTAAATTTGGGATTGTTGACACTAGTTATTTATTATAACTATGATTTTTTAAACTATTTAATGAGAAAATAGAGAATACAATTTTGTTTTTATTTTTGAACAATGAAAAATCCTCAATCCTCCCCCAATCAAATCAGCTGTCTTCTTAATAGCGTTTTCGATTGGTTAAACTGACCGTTCAGATTGGGCGAATCGACGGGCACACTCGGAGTGCACCTCTATCAAGTTCGAGTAACGCTCTGCACCGCCCGGAATCTTCAATTTGAACGCGCCCCCGGCTGGCACCCCAGTATTCCAGTAGTTGTATTCCTTTCACACCTAGGAGGAGCTCCGGAACAGCTCCGGGGCTTCACGTGCTTATTCCTTTCGAAAAGTATTTGTTGCACCACGCATCTGTTCCCTGCAAATCGGGGGTTTCTAAACACCGGAGCGAGTAACTCGAGTGTTTCAAACTCTTGAAAGGAATGCAACTATTGAGACATTTGTTTTGTTTGAGTGTCACGTCACACGTCACTAACGATTTGCTTAGTGCCGAATTTACCCTGCGTTCGGTAATTTGATCTGAGTTCCCCGAGCTTGCATTTACCAATGAAATTTACAGTTCGTTTATTTAAAAAGTGTACTCGGTGCAGGCTCATTCACGTGATTACCACTCCGCTCAGCATGCTCTGCTCTCAGGCGCGTGTCAAACGGTCCCGCAGACCCCGCCACGCGGGGGGGCCACCGGTATATTGGGGTCCCCTGGGTCCCCAATATACTCTAAGAAAAAGTAATACCTTGTAACCTATGTATATCAAACAAACTCCAAAAATACAAATATGCACTTCCCGTTACATCGGCTCAACCAGAAAGGACTTTTTCAAAGTTGAAGCTAATAAAAAGCTTTACGAAATCTAGTATGGTACAAAATCGCCTTAGCCACCCTTAGCTCATTGGCCATAATCTCAGTAGAAAATGAACGAGCGAAAGATGGAGATTTAGACAAAATAGTTGACAAGTTCCTTTCGTTAAGGTACAAACGTTAGGATATTTTATAAGTAGTTTTTAAAATAATGCATATTATTTAATTCCATATCTTTGTACTTATTAGTTAAATATTTGTTGTATGTTTTCCTTGTATTAGAAGAACATTTTTTTTAGAACTTTTCAATCACCCTCCTGTATTATAATAACATATAATAATTTATGGAAATAAATTTAGTTTCAAAAATTCGCTGTGTTTTTTAACTATTAGATAATGATATTGTGTATAAATATTTATATTACTTTAATGGGTTATTTTTGGAAAATATAATAGTGACATAGGGGGCCTCAAAAAAAAGTTCGCGGGGGGGCCTCCAAAAAATTTGACACGCTACTGTCTGCTCTTTGAGCAAAATACCGAACGCAAGGTTAGTCGGTCAAAGATCAAGCCGTTGTCTCGCGTCTACTTTTAGTTTTTTGACATTGGTTCAAAACCGGTCTGGAACAGTCAATGGAAACGTGGGAAACACCATTGCCCGTTTCAAATCTGTTTTGAACCCTTAGAGCAGGAAAGCAATATCCTATGTTGTCTGTCTATCCTTGTTGTATGACGTCATCCTAAATATAACAGGCCTTTTAGGCTATCCTTTAGTATTAGTGAGTAGTGTGTATCATCCGTAGGGATAGACGACCCGGGCTTGACGCCTCGATTAAAACCAAACAGTTATTTACATTTCAAAATCGTGATCCAGGGCGCCCAAGACCCTGAAAAGAAAGCAGCTCAGGATTGCTCAATGCTCATCCGGCTGTGGCTCATCCTCATAAAGGCCGGGACACACCTATCATGCATTCTTCCGATCCGACTCCGATCATACAATAGGACGGAGTGTCTGAGAGGGGAATGATAATACATTTCAAACAACATAGTTCACACCCTTCTGGCACGTGCCCGTCCCCGCTCCAACCCGACTCCGAGCCTGTATCCGATGATGGTCCGATCGTGCAGTCTATTCGTTTTCCAGCTGCGAGGACACGTGTCGCTTGGTGTTTGCTTAAGTTTTTTGCGGTGTCTGCTAAAATTGGAGGAAATGACGGCTATGAGGGAAGAGTGTCGAAAACTCTCCTGCAGATCTTCTTTTCCAAGCAGTACCGAAAATCTACATTTTACGCTGTTCTCCATCATAAAAGATCTCTGATTTTCTTTGTCTTCTTCTTCTAAACAAAGCACTACCATTGACTGAATCGCAGTTGCTGAAATTTTTGATCATTTTACACACAGGGACTTTCCGCGATTTTGTTTGAAGCAAGAATGGCCATTATGGCCAATGGCAAGTGTAAAAAGCCGGAGCTGGAAATCGGAAAAAAAGCAGGAAACGAGTATGAAATGTGTGCTCACCCCTCTTCGATCCCGCATCGGTCCGATTCTTGGGGCAACATCGGACCGGAGTCGGATCGGAGGGGTGTTCGCCAATTCTCGAGTCGGTAAGGTCTGCGAGTGACGTCACCAGTATCAGCACTTAATAGTGGTGGCGTCGCCCGCAGACCTCAATATAATGCTTGCGCTTCAGGTTGTGTTCGAGGGTAAATTTTTTCGTCGATTTTAAATGTAGAAAAGATGATATTAACAAAATGTTATATCGTTTAGGAAGTCGTTTTTTTAACCTATAGTGCTTTAAACTCGGCTTTCATTGGCTTATGCATTTTACGCCGAGTTGAGGTCTGCAGCTGATATAGCAGGCACTCTTAGCTCAATAAGCAGTCCTCTTAGGTTAATAGCGTATTTCATTGGTAGAGCATGTGCAACACTGTTGCAATATTCCATTGGCAGAGTCCGCGCTGCGCTTTTGTATTTTAAGCCGCTTTACAGCTGTGTGCTTCAAGCACGGTGCAGCACAGTGTTCCGTGTTTGAAACGCAAAAGTTAGCAGCTCTCGAAGCGCAGTACGGCTGGAACACGAACACGCGCTCGAAGCATTTGCGCGCGCAAAAGCTCCATTGCGTGCTCAAAAGCGTCAGCTGGAAAGCGGCTTTAATTGGGAAAGCAATTCACTGAGTTTTGCACTAGTTGTATTCCTTTCACAACCAGGAGAAGCTCCTGAACAGCTCGGGGGCGTTACGCGCTTATTCCTTTCGAAAAGTGTTTGTTGCACCCAATTTGCACCTGAGTGCTCAAGCCCGGATTCAACCATTTAAATGCCTTAAAGCCAGCGCATCTGTTCCTTTCATATCGTGGTCGACTAACACCGGAGCGAGTAGCCCTAGTGTTTTAAACTCTTGAAAGGAATACAACTATTGAGTGCTGTTGGTGCGCCACAAATTTGATGATGGGGGAGTAGGGGAGCATCAAGGATGATACACACTACTACCACAGGATGGCCTATCATCATAAGGCCTGTGTGGAACAAATCCCCCCTCAAGTCAAATCACCAGTTGTGACGTGCGCAGGATGTTATTTCTCGCTTTGACGTAGGCTATTTAAACAGCTGACGACTTAGTTATGACGTCGGAAACGACTTACTTATGACGTCGCACACGGTGAAACACCAATACGACGATTAGCAAAAACGAGGCCCATAAGCAATCCCTGTAGGTGTGTATCATCCTTGGGGGGATATGACACAATTGACACATCACATAACCCAGCATAAACAGACTATCCTCTATCCTCTATTCTTATATCCTTGCCTAGTACCTACATACTAAAAATAAAAATATACAATAAACATAAACTAAACTAAACATATTGGTAAAGGCTGGGGTAAAGGTAAATTGGTTCGGTTCTTATTGAAAAAATGGGGTCGGAGCATTCTAATCACATGCCGGCACCGAAAAAGAATCAAGTCAAACCGAATATAAGAAGACAACATACAATAGCAAATCCTGGTTCAAGTGGAGCTGAACAGCCCCCATCCTTAGAGAATGCTGATAATGGAAGATGCATATCACCAGGACCTAGTGTTTGTAGTGATATCGACTTACCCTATATTAGTTATACGGTAAATAGGCCTATTGGAGGTAGCCCCATACATATGTTGTTTATTAACATTTTTCTAATCGATAATAATAATCTCCAGATTCTCCCAAGCTAGCAAATAAACAATTAATCAAAAGCAAATCTACTACAACCCGTAGGCCGCAGTCGTCTAAGCAAAAAAGTAAAAATGCCCATAACATTGTTGTAGTTAGAGATATGGAAAATAATAGTAATACTGTAGACAAGGATGCTGATGTTCTTAGGCTACAAAGCATTCCAATGTTTCTACCCATTATGCGAGCTACTTTAAGGTGAAATAATTTCACCTATACCTACTTAACATTTTATTACAAAACAATAATTAATTTAGTTTACCAGCTGCTAGAGATCCCGAAGTTTTGGAAAGACTAGACCCAACACCATTTAGAAATTTATGTTTGAGATATCAGCACCATCTTACTGCGGCAGCTAATTCAGTTGCTACAGAACAGAATCAGTTAACTCAACGAGTCAGAGAGGTGAGCAAGCAATATTAATATTATTGAAACAACCTGATAAAAATTAATGTTATAAATTGTTTAGGTGGACTCTGATATAAGTAAAATGGTAGCAATAGCAACTGAAAGGCAAAAAAAGTATGCAAAATATGCAGAGAAACTCTCTAAGGTTCAAGAATTGTCTCATCAACTTAATAGGTGTCACATGCTTTTGAATCAAACTCTTGAAAGTATGGAAACTTTAAATAATTATTTGGATATTGAGGACAGGTTGGAAGCCTTTGTTTGGACGACTGGATGAGATTAGTGGAAATAGTTTTGTTTTATTCAGTTCTGAGTTCAGTTTCTACTTTATACCCAATGTTGTTATGTTATTTGTTACTTTTTATAATTGTATCTAATTTTTGTGGCTTATACCAATGACCTTGAAGTTGAAAAACAGGTCGAAGTAGTTGTTTTGTTTTGCTCCACTCCAACACAATAGAACGTTCTATGTGCTACATTGTAGTAAAATTGTTCAAAGTCTTGTTAAACAACATCAACATAGGTCTGTGCCAACTTGTCTCATTAACAATGGGACAACTGTCCCAATTCAATTTGCAGGGTCTTAAAATACTAAAGAAATTCATGAACGACATTACTCAAAAGCAATTATATGTTGTAGGGCTCAGTTAACATTATTAATCAAAATGTACTTTATTGTCGAAAAATAAATTTCATTGAAAAAGCATTAAGCATGATCTTAAGTAATGTGCAATTAATATTAAATTATCGGGTTAGTACAGAAGAAACATTAAGGTTGCAGTCAGAACAAAACAAAACAATGAAGCAACCAAAATTAAAATTTTTCATTGAAAAATTCATTAATATTACAATATGCTTTTCCATATGAAAATGCTTTGAACTCTAGTCTAAACTTTTTGAAACCATCTACCTGCCTTTAGTTAACAGGCAGGTGATTAAAAATTTGCCTATTTCTATAAATAAGTGAATTTTGCGTCAATGCAGTCTTAGGTATAGGGAGCTGAATTTTAAGTAGTTGCCTAGTTGGATAAGTTCTTAGATATTCTAACTTCTAACTCATAATGTTTTTTGTGCATGAGGCAAGCAGTTTCCATGATGAATATACAGCACACTGGGAGTACGTTATGTTTTAAAAATAGTGGAGTGCAATGCTCCCAATATCCAAACTCACACCAATAACACACTGCTCTCTTTTTAATGTCAGAAACAGAATCAAACAATTTATTAGAACAGTTACCCCAAAATGCAATGCCATACCTGATATGAGATTCAACCAATGAGAAATAAACCAACTTAGCAGTATTTAAACCAAGTTCATTTGACGCTATTCTTACAGCATAGCAACCACTTGTCAATCGTTTGTTAAAATTTGTAACTTGTTCAATAAAGTTAAGTTGAATACCAAGAAATTTACAGCTTGTCTTTGTTTTCAATTGTGTGTAAGTCTAATATCCAATCATGAAAAAAAAATTAAATGTCAATATGTTGGTTTTCTTAGATTTAAAACAAAGCAAGTTAGAGTCACACCAGCTCTTCAATCAATCAATCAATCAATAATGTACTTTATTATCAAGAATATAATTCTGTCGACAAAGCAGGCTAAAGCTAACATTAACATTAACATTATAACTTAACATATATAAAATATCTTCAATTCAAATTCAATCAAGTTTACTAAATACTACAAAAGACTAAAAATTTTGGGTAGATGAAAGTGTAAACAATTTTCATAAAAGATTTAAAGGTACATAGCATAGTCAAGTTCAAAAAACAGTACGAACAGGGAAAAAAAAAACATAAGAACAATAAAAACAATGACAACAATGCGGATATGGCAATATTTCCTAAATAATTTAATATATTGTACAATCTTATAATGATATGAGGTCATTAGAAAATTTATAAGCTAACATAAAAAATAAGACATGGTCAATTTGAAACACAGTATGGACAAAATAAAATTTAAAGCATATGATTATCATTGTAAAATTCAGTCAAACTATAGTAAGCTTTGGTAATTAGTATATTTTTTAACTTTTTTCTAAAAAATTTCAATGTCACTGATTGTCTGATTTCGAGTGGTATGTGGTTAAAAATGTTTCGACCCTCGTATATAAAAGACTTTTGTATCAAGGTGCTCTTAGGTATAGGCAGAGGCAAGTCAAAGTTTTGCCTGGTCTTTAGAAATAATATTTTTCAACTCTTCAATATTTTTTCCTTTCCTGGACAGAGTAATGTCATCAGCAAATGCTGCTATTTTAGCCCTAATGGGGCGGTGATTAATATCATTTAAATAAAGTAAAAACAATATTGGTACCAACATAGATCCTTGTAGAACATCATTGGTTAAAGCCAAGTTTGATGACTGAGTATCACCAATCTTAACAAATTGTTCTCTTCCTGAGAAATAAGATTCAAACCATGAGTATGAGATTCCTCCGAAGCCATAGATTTCTAGCTTTTTAAACATTATTTCATGATTTACACAATCAAAGGTTTTAGAGAAATCATCTCAAAACACAATGGCGACAAGCTCACTTTCATTAAGACTGGTGAATACCTGTTCTAAAAGATTAAACATGGCATCATGGGTGCTCTTAAATGGTTGGAATCCCAAGTTGAGTGTCACTTATTATGTTGTGTGTTGAAAAATATTTCAACATTCTTTCTTTAACTAACTTTTCAACTATTTTTTTGACAACGTCGATAGAAGTGATATTGGCCGATAATTACATGGGTTGTCCAATTCGCCACCTTTATAAAGAGGGAAAACTATAGCTTTTTTCAGGCAGTCTGGAAATACTCCTGTTAAAAATGAAATATGAATACATTCAGACAAGACACACAATGCATTATCAGGTAAGTTTTTAAGCAAATGTATTGAAACATTATCATGCCCACTGGATTTATTGTTTTTTATTCCGCTACAGATTTCATTAAGTTCTAATATGTTTGTAGTTTCCAGTACAAATATGTCATTTATTGTGACATCCAATAAATAAGAACAAGGATCTACATTACTTTTTAAATTTAGTTGTAAAGTTTCAGCAACAGTACAGTAGTTGCTAAGAATATTGGGATCTAATTTAACATCTGTTTGAAGAACTGAGTTTTTACCAGTTAACTGATTAATTATTTTCCAGTTTTCTTTGCTTGCATTTTTCGAGGATTTTATTCTATTCTGGTAAAACTTTTCCTTACCTGCTTTTGAAACACTTTTGGGAATTTTTCTATATCTGCAGAAATAACTCATGAACTGAGGACAATCAGTAAATTTGCGAATATTTTGTAACAAACGCATGTTTTTTGATGAAACTTCAATAGCGGGCATAATCCAAAGTTTACTTTTCTTTTGCTTAATTTTTTGTAATGGAAAAGATTTTTAAAATGCATCAGTTACTAACTTTTGGTATCAGTTTAGTGGTGATTGACAATTCAAAACTGCTTTTCCTTGCATATATCTTTAAATTTTTTATAATTGTTACTGCTTAGTAGTCTACCAACTTTATATTTTGATGGTTTATCTATCGCAACTTGAAATTTTGCTAAAACTGCCTCATGATCCGAAAGGCCTACAGGAATTACACTACAGCTATACAAACATTTGCTTTAAGACAAAATTTGAACATAGATAATCGATTTTGGTTTGAGAATGAGCAGTTGTTCTAGTAGGTTCATTAACATACATCTCTAGTTCAAATGATAAAAAACAAGTTAGACAGAATTTGCTTTGCCTCTGATCTGTCATTATCAAAATTTATATTAACTATGTCATCCATAATATTCGCGTCGTTCCATACAATGTCTATGCTTTGGACAAATAAAACTGTCACATCAACTTTGAGGTGATTGAGTCAATAAAGACCATGAAATATATTGATGAATATTTAGCCAAGGGCGTCGACTCTATCAGAGTGGACGTTGAGATGATTTAGATGAAATCCAGAGATATCTCAATAGTTGATATGTCAGTTCAATAGAAGCTGCTTGGAGACTTCAAATTCAAAATGTACGACAGATCGCACGCGGTACAGGGAAAACATATCTTTATAACACAATTAAGTTATTAACATGATACTCCAATATGTAAAAAGACAATGTCAATGCTGTTGCTTGGACTGGAATTGCCGCCAATCTTCCGATTGGCAGGAAAACTGTCCATAAAACCTTCAAGTAACCATTGAAAATCGGGTGTCCCATCTTTATTGCTCGTGACTGTACAATAACTTAGGAAATTTCTGAATAAAAAATTGCATATTCAATAATCTTCAATATATATTGCAGGGATAATGTATACAAATTTAGCCTTAAGTAACATGTAGTAAGTAAAACTTATAATTTAAAAAAAAAAAGTTTTTACAAGTGTTAATCCAGTAGATGATATTTACATTTAAACTAAAAAGCTTCAAGATTCAAAGGAGATTAACATAAAAATTAGAGATTTCTGGTCAGACAAAGATTTTCATAGGTCAATGAAAGAGTCAATTTAAACTCTTTAAGTACTTTTAGGAAATTATGTTTGCACTGATGGTAAACGATCTTTATATAGTTTGAGTAGAACTTTTGCCGCCAAAAATATGACTTCTTTTCGAGATAAACCAGATACTTCCTCTTGCCAACATGGGACAGCCTAAAAAATAACAAATAATCAAATACCTATAGTACTTACATTGCATTAAACATTTTTTGTCATACTATGCTGTTATTGTATTATTCTATGATTAAAATTAAAATTGAACAGGCCATCATTTTCAAAAGTACCTACAAGTTCCTTAGAAAGAACCACCTATGAGAATATATAATCACAGATCAGATTGAATTATAGAAAAATTTCATGATGGAAGCGAAATAAACATTTGAAAATTAAATTCCTTAAGATATGCATTAGAAGAAGCATCTGCAGCAAAACTGAAGAAATAAATAGTATACCTTATTAAGCTGCCAGATCATGCTACAAAAAACTAAAGGAGTTTAGGTTCAAGTTTAGATTAGAAAAATGTAGAATCAGGACCCCAAATGTAAAGACATTTGGGGTCCAGCATATGATATCCAACCCTGTTAATATATTAGCCTATTTATTGCCCCTGATGATGGGATTTTCTAATCCCGAAACATGTAGGGCCGTTCTAAAACGAATAAAGTATCTGTGGAGGAAGACTTTGAGCTTTTCTTTTGAATTAAATTTCAACTCCACGTTGAGATATGGACTACTTCTTGAATATAAACTGTATTGATGAACAAGTATTGCTCAAATATGAAAAGAAAATGTCTGAAATATATCATCCTACTTGTTATGTATTATACCAAATTTTCGACTGACCTGGTAATCTATCAGTTACCTTACCTTTAAATATTCAGATAATTTATTTTCAATATCAATATCTGCCACCTCTTTATCAATAAACTTTTCAACTGGGACTGGGGTAGCCTGTGTAAATGTTTGGATGTTGATAGCCTTTTCTGCATCTTTCAATAATAACAAGCTAACATCAAACCAGCTAAAAAACAACCTAATAAAAATCAAACACTGCAGTTTTTTCATATTACTGACCTTTTTCCTTCTTTTAACATAACACTCTCAACAGCCACTGTAGGTGTTTTCCTAAATTTTAATGAATAATCTATCCTTTCTTCAGCTATTATACATCCAGATTCGAAGCCGATAGCTTGAGATTTTTGAGTTGAAGTATTTAGTTTAATTCCACTAAAAACGGATTCTAAATAGACACTCCAAAATACAAGTCAGTAACTTACTTTACCCAAGCTTTACCAAACACTGCATGAGCAGCTTCTCTCACACCACTTACAATATCTTCTTCTTCAGAAGCTACAGTAATTTCCAAATCTCCACTTGAATCTAATTTAAAAAAGAAGAAAAAATTTAATGTGTTGAATCAAAAATTGGAGACAACAAGGAGGTTCTTATTATTTATGGCATGTGGAACCCCTGGGAACATGAATATAAATTTTTATGTTGCATTGTTAAGCTCTGTGACAGGGGCACCCCCACCAATGAAATTTCTAAAAATCCTCAGTCATTAATCCGAGCATTAATCATTATTAAATGTGGGGGGTGCTTAAAAAAAATATTGTCACAATTTGATTTTTTCAGTAACTTTTTTTTGGGTGTGGGCAAAAAAAGTTATTGGGTGGGCCTATATGGGCAAACGAACTACATATTGATTTTTAAAACTATGGTTGGTGGGGGGTGTTCCCATTACAGAGGTCTTGAAATTTGAGTTATGGAGGTTCAGCTTCAGTAAAAAATAAAAACAAACTAAGAATAATCGTTGCCTACTTACAAATATATTCACTCATCTGAGGATCCAAGGTAGTAATAATAGAGTCAACAGAGCTTTTAGCCTTTTCAACCATCTTTGTAACCACTTGACTTGATAGAGCACCTTTCACAAGTCCCAAAAAGCTGCTCGGAACTACTGGTTCTGCCTCTGGTGGCTGACTCGGTCTAGCAGTTGTTGCTCCCAGGGGAATTCCCTTGCTTGGAGGAATGGCTGCACTGAATTGTGTAGATGGAAATTGATTAACTAAACCAGGTGCTGAGGTTACTACATTGCTGCTAACTGTATTGGTGTCTAGCTGTTGTTCCCGCTCAGTTGACACGGGATTGGCCTCCGCAGAGCTGCTTGGTGACGATGTCCATAAGGTGAAATCTGGTAGTGATGAAGGAGGTCCAACGTTTGATAGCAAATTGCCAGTAGATAAACTGGCACTTCCTGGGGATGTTAGGGAATATGATGAAGAAACACCGCTCAGTGTGCCTGAAATTATTATTTTCATTGAATATAACTTATTTGACCGAAATAATTCAGGTTCTGAATGTTCTCTCACCACTTTTATCGCCATTATTTGCTTGTTCAACAGCTTTCTTGTCCACAATTTCGAAGGAGCTTCCATTAGAGTCGTCCTTATCCATTTTCACGTGTAGAAGGGACACAATTCGAAAAATTATAAAATTATTAGTAATCTTTGCAATGACAAAATTACATTATCACAAATTATAGTAGAAAATACAATTATTATTCAAACAAAAATATTAGAAAATGCCAACATAAACAAAAAGGTGGAATGAAATTTGAGTGCAACGTCATCTCACGACTCCGAACTCAAAACTGTCGTCTGTCGTCGAGAATCAACACGGCCCTCAAGTTCACAAAAGGGGCGTTTTCCAGAATTCATTGTACAATTTACCGGTGGAAACAACCGGTAGCTGTCAAAAATCCTGAGATGCATGGGGGTCAAGGATAATACACACTGCTAAAGGATTGTTTATCGGTCTCGTTCTTGGTAATCGCAATCGCGGCCATATTGGTGTAGCACTATTGCCGACGTCATAATTTAATAGCGAATTCCATTGGCCAAACTCGTACCTCACGAGTGCAATATTCGTTTAGCATTGGCCATTTCAGTGCAAGTTTTTGAATCCCACTGAGAAACTGGTTCGGCACTTTTTTCCCTGAGTGCAATCAGTTCCGCACGAGCTTCTGGAAGTCGTGCGGCACTGGTGCAATTTGACGTTTTTCTGGTTTTGAACATGTGGCCATTCTGTTTTCTCGCGTTCACTTTTTTGAAACTGGTTCAAAACAGGTTTGAAATAGTATAATCTCGCGAACAAAATTGGTTCAAACCGCTTAGAAATACAATCCAATTCACGTTTTTAAACCCTTTTCTCGCTCGGAGAAGTTATGACGTCATTGTGAAACTGTTTTAAACCAGTTTTAAAAAATGTTTCAAAACTTTGAGACGCTGATCGATGATATTGATAACCAAAATTCTTCATTTTTCTCTAGAGTTTTTATAATTGTTATTTGTTGTTTGGTTCGCGACCATTAAAACTGTCATCTCTCCTATCTTCCAGCAGCATCGATACAGATGAGAGTATTTTTCTCTGCTTTAAGGCAAGAAAAACCTGACCCAAAATCCGAAAAAATAGGAATTCGAAAAAAAAAAAAAAAATTAAATAGCAATAACCAAAATCTAATTTTTTAAATTTTGGCAACAGATCCAATCTCAAGGTCAAAAGTGAACCCCATTGGGATTGCACCAATGCGAGTTTTAAATTGGCCGGAACGAGTGTGAGTGCCGCACCGGTGCGACACTGTTTTTGCCAATGTAATTCGCTATAAGTCGTCAGCTGTTTGCGCCAGCGGTCGTAGCTTAGAATTTAAATTTATGATGAAAAATATTATTTAATTTTGATTACCATAATAGGCAAAAGATTCGAACGAGATCCAAAAAATAGTTGTTTCGAATGTAAATTATTGTAGTGAAACCAAGTATGCATAATTGTATCATAACCTGTGGTGCAAACACCCTACGTCAAAGCAAGAAACGAAATGCTGCCTACGTCATCACTGGTGCTTTGGTTTGGTGGGGGCCTTGAGATTTGAACTACACAGGCCTTATGAAGACAAGCTACCTATCCTGTAGTAGTAGTGTGTATTATCTTTGCATGGAGATGGCGTGCGATGCTCGAAATATCGGAGAGCGGAAAGTGGTACTTTTCCGAGGCTTTGGTTGTCTATAAGTGGCTGAATTCCGCAAGAATATTGCACACTACTACAGGAATACTCATTGGCCTCGATTTTTGGCATCTAGGTCATAAGGTGTTGCAACGTAGCCGACGCCATCAAAGGTGTCGCTAGCTGTTTGCGCCAGCGGTCGAGTAGTTTAGAATATATATTTATGATAAAAAAATATTATTTAGTTATTATTACCATAATAGACAAAGAGGAACATGCAAACGTGTCTAAAAAAGGGTTGTTTTAGAACGGTAATTATTGTACTAAAACCAATACATGCTGTCTACGTCATCGCTGGTACTTTGGCGTGGTGGGGATATCCTTGTGGTGGGGGCTTGAGAGTTGAGTGTTTTGATTTTTGAACTAAACTTGCCTTAAGCTTACGGGTTTTTTCAGTGATAGGTTTAAACCTTTTTTGGTTTTTTGGGGGTTTTTAAGAACAATAGGTTTTTGGGTATTTTAGGCAAAAAAAAGGGTTACAGACAAAATTGACATTAACCAAACAAAAAAAAAGTCTGAAGTCTGAGTGAGTCAACTGTAGGTAGAAGATAGCGAAGTCTACTGTGAAGAAAATGCCAATGAAAATAGTGGAAACGAAAATACTGATTTCCAGTTGGAATTACTTGAGGGATAGGTGGATGAAAATAGGATCGAATTTATAAATATTGAATTATATTTTATAATTAATACTTAAGTTTTCATCTATTGATTTATTATAAGTTATCTGGCAGAATATTTGATATTTTTAGTTTTATGTTTTATTTTCTTTTGTATCGAGTTTGTTTTTTTGTTTTTTTTATTCAGTTTATTTAAAAATAGGTAATAAAACACTTATCATTTATCCTAATAATTATCATTTAAAGGTTTGATTTGGATTAAAAGTGTTCCTTAGAGAAGAAAAAAATGAAAAACTTGGGTTTATTGGAGCTGGGTTCGGCTATTCAGCGCGGAGTTGGAGTGGAGTGAACAGAGCTAATGGAGTCACCCCGGTAAAAAGCAATACCCGAACCTTAACCCGAACGGCTGGAGTGCGAATGGAGTCGCTCCGAGTGCATGGAGTGAGCAAGTCGAATCCACCTTGGGTTTTTAAGAAAAATCAGGGTTCAAACCCAAAACTTGAATAAACCGGGTTGTTTCAATGAACCCGGTTTTTTGAAATACGGTTATTCGAAAAACCCGTTTCTTTCCAAAGGTTTTTTCCAAAAAACCCGGTCTAAACCCATCTCTGCTCAAAACGAAAGAAGATCGTTGCAAAAACATTCTCATGAAAAATCAAGATTCCCGTTCCCTGCTCTAAAGGTACGCGCATACTAGCCGGAGCCGAACCAGCCGCACGCACCGCTCGAATCGCATCGTTTTTGTTTTAATGCGCACACTATAGTGGAATTTTTCCTGCCGTAGCGGAAGCGCGCCATCATTTGAGGTTAGCCGTTAGCCAGTCGCTTTTATAATTTCGAGATACTTTTTGGCATTTTTCACAATAAATGATAGTGCGGGGAAAAAATTGTTGTAATTTGTATGTTGCTCGCAGAGGAAGAAAAAGAAAAGAATTTCCTCCCACATATTATATCTGCGTTGCAAATTGACGTTTTCAATTAAAAGAGATGGATGATAAGTATGAAAACATTCATTTTCCCGCCAAAATTTGCTTGCTTAATGTCAATGTGTATTGGGTGTTTAGCAATCCGCTCATTTTTATGTGAATCGGTGACTTCACCAATGAGTTAGCTATCTTTGTTAAGTGAATGGAAAATGACAATGACCGACATAGAATGATGGATCCATCGGTAAAATTTGATAATAAAAACGCAGAGTTTGAAATTGGGAAGAAAATGTAGGAAAAGTTACTGCTTCATTCGTAGAACTTCGCTATGGAGCCGGTGGTGGATTATTTTGGAAGCAAACAGTTTCTGCAAACTAAACTTGAACGAGGATTACTTTGTATACTTGATGGGCCGTGGATTTCCCTTTCTTTTGCGAGTATTCTTTCTGATTTTATGTATCCAAAATTTGACAAATGTAGAATTTGATGGAAACTTATGGAAAAACACGTCCGCCGGTGAATAATAGAAATAAATAGGAATTAGTTTTATGGATAGGCACACTACACACAATCACCATTGTTAAGAAAAAACCTTGAAAAACACGAGGAAATAATAGTTCATTTCAAAAGTCTTGTGTACAAACCACTGTCAACGGCTGTCAACCATTGTTTTCATACTCTTTTGGCGTCTGACAGTTTGATGCCAGAGAGAGAGGCTTTTAAATTGAAAAGGTCAATTGGAATATTGGGAATGTTTTAAGTTATACATCAACTCTTCATAGTTTTGTACTAACGTTATTAGCAATTCTTCTTCCATGTTGCGTTTTTATTTTGTAGCAAATCAAAAATTATTCAAAGATTTTGGTGACTCATAGACTTTCCAAGCCAGTGAAAACGAAAACAATAATCTAATTATAACCTATGAAATATATAGAAATTACCACCGTGCGAATCCTGCGATACGACTGGGCGCGCTCACTAAGGGCGGATGGATTCGGCACATACATATATCATCAGCTCGAACAGCACGAACCGAAAAAAGATTCCCTGCCAAACATCCTGGTCGCATTTGCGGTAGTACGGCTCGTGCGGCTCCGGATGGTTTGCGATACCTCATGGAAATCAATGTAAACAATATTTTGCTACGGCTCCTGCGCTTGGTGCGACTCGTTCGGCTCCGGCTAGTGTGCGCTTACCTTTAGAAACTATTACGTGTTATTACTATGTTGTAACCTGTTTTGAAATAGGAATTCAATCTGGTTAGAGCAGGTCAAGCAAATACAGTCGTGAGCACAAAAAGTGGGACACCCGTTTTTTCCTATTGTAAAAGTGGCTCACCAGCTATACCTAGAGTGCGTTCGAAAAAGGGTTAAATTTTACTTAAGGCCCAAGGGTGAGAGTGGGTATATGGTCACGCGGTTAGAGGAGTCAATTTTTTCTGGTGTGTTTTCGAACGCACTGGTGTACAGTGTTGCCAAAGCCACCCCGTTCGGGGTAGATCTACCCCTTTTGAAAACAATCTCGCCCTGCTGCTCCCCTCGACTAAATCTACCCCGCTCTGAATACAATACTATAACACAAAAAGAATGCTTATTGCTAATAAAAAATACTTACAAAATCAAAATTATGAGAAACAATTTATTTATTTGAACTGTATGCAACGAGTTTTTTTGTCCACCACTATGATACACATCATCATTTACAGATTCCTCCAGCATTGCGCCAGCATAGTACCCCTAACAAAAAATGTATATTCTTTATTTTAGGTTTTTAGGATTTTTTCAGTGTCTCCTTTGAATTTTAGGTGTCCCTTGTCCCTTCAAGCAGAAAATTATGTAAAAACATTAAACATTAATTATAGTCTTTCACCTAACAAATGCGGAAAGTGATACTTTACGAATGTGTTAGGTACAAAATTTCACCTATATCCTATATCATTAGCAAAGTTTAGTCTACTTTATCGCACACTCTGCGGTAAAGTACTACTTTTCGCACGCTCGTAAGTAAAATTTTTGTTTCTACCCCGCACCGATTCTATTCTACCCCGTTATCCTGCCGTAATCTGCCCCAATAAAAAAAAAATCCTGTGCAGTTCACACCCGGTAGAAGTGAAACCTTCATCGAACTGCATGCATTACACACATACTAACATACACAGTGGCGTGGGCGTGGCTCCATACGTGGCTCCAAAAGACTTGAGAAAAAACGCAAATAAATATAGTTTAAAAAAACTAAAATACACGCTGGGGTGCTTTGTTCCACATTTCTTATACATTGAGCACCCCACGCTTTTTTGACAATAATTCTAATATTTTTTGTTCATTAATATTTTCTGTTTATATTAAAAATTATTTTTCACTTTTTAGTTCAATTTACTATAAAAGCGTGTTTTTTATTTTTTTTTAAACATATTTATTTTTCACTTTTTACTTCGATGTATCATAAAAGCGTGTCAGCTCCAGAGATTTCCAGACTTTTCCAGGTTTCATCCAGATTTGTAAAGACTGATCCGGATTCTGGAAAATGATCCCCAGGTCTTTTGGAACCTTTTTCAGAATTTTTCCAACCCTTTCCAGAAATTTCTAAGTTTTTTCCAGACTATTCCAGAGATTTCCAGACTTTTCCAGACTTCATCCAGATTTATCCAGACTTGTTCCAGCTCACTTGGCTTGTTCCAGGTTCTTGTTGTGTGTTGTGTGTTAATATAAGCGTGTTAAAAAAGTGTTGCTTTTTCGTTTCGTTTCATCGGGTCGCTTTTTCGTTTCATATATAGAGTCGCTTTTTCGTTTCATATATAGGCACCCTATAATAGGGTGGCTTTTTCGTTTCATCGAGTCTCAAATCACTCCCAACGATTCTAAAGAAGTTTTCACTTCAAAAAGAGCTTGTGGCAACACTGCTGGTGTATAATTATAACCTAACATATATACATAACATTTAGGCCCAGTGTTCTGTGCATTCCATTTATCTGTTTCTGCCTATTATCAACAACAACTTCCGAGAAACGTGAAATAAAACAAATAAAATCTGGCTAAATATGAAAGTAGTAGATTTAAATAACTGGTCTCTTGATTTCTGCTGTTTGAGTCGAGTTAGATTAGCTTGGACAGCATTCGGTAAATTAAGCTACATCTTGAAAAATAGAAAATATCCACAATACCTCAAATCCAAAGTTTATAATCAATGTATACTTCCTGTTCTCACCTATGGATCCCAAACATGGACACTTACAAAGTCAAACATGGATAAAATAACAAAAGCACAAAAATCAATGGAAAGACAAATGTTACATGTGAAAATGATAGATAAAAAGAGGAACGAGTGGATAAGAAATAAAACGAGAGTAAGAGACGTTAGAAAGGAGGAAGCAAAACTAAAATGGAAATTCGCAGGTCACAATATCAGACAAAAAGACGACCGATGGAATAAATGTATCTTAAGCTGGAGACCTTGGGAGAATAAAAGAAGTAGAGGAAGACCCCAGATGAGGTATGCTGATGACCTGAAGAAGCACGCTGGAACCAGGTGGATGAACATGGCAACAGACAGAGAAGAATGGAGAAGACTGGGGGAGGCCTATGTCCAAAGATGGACTGAAGAAGGCTGAATAGATAGATATATAGATTTAAATAATGAAAAACTGACAAGAATGACAGGAGTAAAATTTACCCAACGGCAGAGTTGGTTAAGAAAGAGTGCACACTGGGTAGCACCCCGGATATTTTGGAACTAGCGTGAAAGTTAACCGGAGCTTATACCAATTCATTTTCGAACGGCCAGTGTGCACTCTGTGTGACGCTCAGACTAATTTCGAACGCACTCCTACGGCAATGATTGTGATCGATTGTAGAGAAAAGACTGGTGGGGGATTCTCATCCTCCAGTCTCAACCTATGACCTATCGTCCCGACTATCCCATTGCCTTTCTACTAGTGGGTCCGGACGATTGGTTGCGACTAGAGGACGAGAATCCCCCCTGATTTACGCAAAATAGCGAAAAATGGCAAGACCTGTCAGTCGGGTGTCCCACTTTTTGTGCTCATGACTGTACATAAAAAAGTTCTCAACTGGGGGCGGATTACGAACTCTCGATTCGAACCGAAACCGCCATGTACACCAAAATTTTGATTTCGAACGCACTCCATGCGAATGCATTTCGACGAAAGTCACTCGACTGGGTTGATGTCTGTCGAAAAGCTATCGAAACGAAATCGAGTCCAATAAAGTTAAGTTAAGTTGGATTTTTGGGGGCCAAAATTCGTTTGATTCTTTGTTTTGTTTTGACGTTTTGTAGTATTTTGAACTTTGAACAGAAAAATCGCTGAAAAAAAATGTCTTAAAATTAATGATGGCCATTGGCAGGTTTTATTATGGAGAAACAGTTGACCAACGGCAACATTAGTTGCTTTGAAAATTGATCGAACACACAGCAATAACTGTCAATCTAATAAATAAGAAAATATTACGACTATTAATAAATAAACAATTTCAGTGAATTCCAGGCAGAGGAGTTCGAGATCGTCACACTCCAGAACATGTAGCTCGTAGCTCCAATATTCTAGGCATCAGAGCGGATTTGCTGAGAGCAGGAAAAGCAGCTCAAACGAAAACGCTTATAAAAACGAAGAGAGTTGAACTGTCATGGAGCTGTCGGCTGTCGTTAAGACAATTTCCTATTCGCCATCTTGGGAAACGCGCATTTTTGAAGGCCGGTAATTTTTATTAAAAAAAAAACATTGAAAAAAAACTTTTAATTAAAAAAAAAAAACTAGTCACATACGTAAGTACACTTTAAAGAACGTTTGCTAAATTATGGGATCATTTACCGTACTTGTGGCGAAGTGTAGGACTGTGTACGTGTCCTTTTTAATGGCACCAACAAGTTTCTCCAAGTTCCATGTCCTAAATATTGGTTTTATTATTTTGTTTTGCTAATGTTCAATGAATCTAGAGGCGGTTTTGCGAATACAAACGCTGTAGAATCATGAAAACATTTCTCTTTTGTGGAAGTGCCTGTATGGTTCACTCAAGCGGATTATTTTGAAGTAGTTCATGGATATCCCAAGCGCTCTCGTGCTCTACATCGAATAATTTATTACCAAAAGTGAAGGTCTTTACAGTCCCCAACTCAATATCATGTACTTTGAAATGTAAAATTTTTCGATAATATGCCCTTTTTAATGGGTGATTATTCTTATTTTCAATTATTCCACCGATAACCTCATCCCTGACTCCCATCATGAATTACCAAAAAAAAAAATCCATTCCTTCATTAAGACTAAAACTAGGCCACAAATTCAGTTACAGAAAATGACTGAAAATGATGACCTAGAAACAGCAAACCCCCTTCTTGGTGGCATGGGAGAAGACCAATTGGATTCTTTTGATGACACAAATGGAGTTCATGAGGAGCAATTGCTGAATGATACCGATGGTGATGGAGCAGCTGGAGATGATCCCGAGTTGGAGGCAATAAAAGCAAGGGTTAGAGAAATGGAAGAAGAAGCAGAAAAATTGAAACAACTACAAAGTGAGGTGGATAAACAGATGAATATGGGTAGTCCACCTGGTACAAGTAAGTAATATGTTTTCCTCAATGTTTTCCTTCTCTTTATTCCCCAGTACCACTATACTTACATATCATTCAAATTGTAACAATGTATAAATACAGTGTATACCATTTACAAAACAGGCTAAATAAGTATCTGATGTAACTTTTATTTTTTTTAAATCGCTTGTACACGTAATTTGATTGTGTGAATCCTTGAAATATTTTCAGCACTAACTTGACCCTCTAGGAGGGGTGGGACCAACCCTTACTATTCCAAATAGAACAGGGGACGAGTGACACCTGTTTCAAAAGAGTGTTCAATTTTCTTTCGAATGACATCAAATGAAAGAGAATTGAACGCTTTTTTAGAAGAGGTATCACTCGACCCCTTGTTCCATTTGAAATAGTAAGGGTTGGTCCCACCCCGCCTAAAGGATTTAAGTAGAAGTGCTAGAAATGGTTGCAGAAAACTTCCCCCTTTAAAAATCAAATTACCTGTACGAGCGATTTTTTTGAAAATATAAAATGTGTTTTTTTTTTTAAAGATAAAAGTCAAAATGACATTATGTTGGCAATACAATGTAAAGTTGGCAATGCCTTCAATATTTTCATGTAGAAAAGGCTTGTGTTGCCAACAAAGTTACTAAATTTTTGACTTGGGGAATTATCTTTTAAAAAAAAAACAGACTTTACGTGGCATCAGATATTTAGCCTGTTTCGTTTTAAATGGTACACCCTATATATTTTTATTCTGACAACCCTGTCCAACTTCAATTCCCAATTAATTCAATACAGTAGAACCCTGATTATCCGAGGTCTGGATTAACTGAGCCAATCTAAAGAACCATTATGAGAGCTTCTTAAATATACAGGGTGTTCCACGAAGTTTTTCCTAGGTAATAACTTCGGAACGCGTCGTCCAATATAGTCGAAATTTTGAGGATCTGGGTAACTTTCTGTGCCGCTTCTACTATTGTCATCCACTTTCACTTCAATTTCGGTCAAGTGACATCAAATTTCGAATCTTAATTCTAACTCATGGTATATTATGGCATTTTTTGTTAGAAAATTGAATTACAGAATCGGAAATGCCATATTTGTTAAGGCTTTGTTAAAGAAAATGATAAAAAATTATACAGTGGAACATACGATGATGCGTTCCGAAGTTATTATTTGGGAAAAACCTCCTGGGACACCCTGTATATGACCATAATGTATATACATACTTCCAAAACAAGATACATCATAGAATGAATAAGTGCCCTGCAAATGCTGAACAGAGGGGTTAATACTCGCAACTGCATATGGACATTAAAATACAAACAAAATGTGAGTTTGTTGCCTATCAAAAAATTACAGAAGCTAATATCAGCTCTAATCCAAAAAAGTTTTAGTAGGGGCGCATACAGCATTTCTGTGGCAAGTTTGTGATTAAAGCAAGCAACCTATGTGGTCCTATCAAGAATGCTCTTCTCAATACAAAAATGTCTGTCAACCTAGCATGACAATCCCAGCAGGATTCGAAAAAAAATTTGTGGAGAATTAGTCGCTATCTTGTTGCTAATTATTTACCATATTTTTGATTTTTTTACTCTTGTCGATTGTGAAATAAAGCGACTCTTGCCAGCTTGACATCAAGCTAGCAGAAAATAAAATAAAATAAAATCCCAGCGGAATAAAAAAAATAGTGGGGAGTTTGTTGCTAATTATTTACCATATTTTTAATTTTTTCACTCTTGCCGGTCTCGAAAAAATGTGATTATACCAGCCTGAAAAATTTTAATATGTATTATTTTCATTTCTAATCAAGGTACCTAATTTTGCATGAAAATCTATGGCCATTTTATTGATCAGATTAGAGGAACTAACTTTCAAAAAGTCAACTTTATTTATTTATTTATGTATGTATTGTTTAATACACAACATAGCAAACTCCAAATGGTATTTTTTATTTATTGCCTACTTATATCTATGACGAACTTTTTCAAAAAATAAAATAAAACTATGCTATACATATGATCACAACAATTAATACAAAGCAAGTACAAATAAAAGTAAATAAACACGATGCAATAGGTACATAATATATCGGCGCCGCAACTCATTTTCTCAGGGAATCAAGATCTATACTATGGAGTCACTGAAATGCCTCTGATCGTTAAAGGTCTGCTAATATTAATTTCAGTTTATTTTTGAATGTAATTGGGGTGCAATTGAAATCAAAATTCGCAGGAATATGTGTGTTGAAGAGATGCATGATGCGATTCATGACACTATTTTTACCAACATCAGTCCGGCTTCTATTGGTTGAAAACATACCATTTAAACGCGTATCGCGTGAAGGTACACGAATGTTTATAAGTGCCAAAAGTTCCAGGAGGTTCACATTATTGGTTAGTATTTTGAACCCGAACATGAGTGTCAGAAATGTCCTATGCATCTCTAAGCTATCGATATTCAGCAGTTGCAAACGATCTTGGTGTGAAAACTGACTTTCGTCAATTCCAAGTTTGTATAACAGGAAGTTGACAAATTTCCCTTGAACTCGCTCAATGCGCTTAATATGGGTTTAGTAACATGGCGACCAAACTACGCAGCAATACTCGAGGTGACTTCGCACCAATGAAAAACATATCGTCATCCAAGATGGCGCCGGGTGATACGCAAATCAATGTGGATCCTGAAATATCTTATTTTGAATGCCATAAAACCAAACAGTGTCCATATAGTGTATGTGTAAACTGTGGAAAAGTGTATCACAAATCCTGTGTCCAAAGAGACTTTGTGAAAAAAGTGAAAATCATAGACTTAACACAATTAACATGCTGTGACAAAGACTTAACCTCCCAACCGTCAGAGGAGATCCAGCTATTGAAGACGCTTGTAAGCGAGCTCCAGGGCAAGAATCGGCTACTGGAGGAGAACTCAGACCTGTTGAAGGAGAAAATCAAGTATCTCAATGAAAATGCGAGGAAATCTATCCAAAAAAATGTCAACAAAAATACTCCAACGCCAGTCATCAAAAGCGCGGGAACAACAAAATCAGATGTTTCTACCAAATCAACTGTTTCTGTGGCACCCGAACAAGCACAGCCCAAGGCCAGGGTCATCTGGGAGAACAAAAGTGGTTCCGAGCTGTTCAATGCAGACTCGGTAACAGTCAAGGTCACCACAGACTCCAAGTCCGAAAATGGCGTGATTGAACTTGACGAGGCGGGCGGTTTCTCGGAACAACGGAAACGCGGCTTCCGCAGAAAACGGAACACACGATCAGCTGAAGGTGACAGTTCAGGATTCGAATTATCAAAGAACGAAAACATAAACAAAAACAACCACCTAAAACGGAAAACAAACCGTAATCGTGGCAGAAAAATAGGATCTAGAGACGACTTCGATGAATTTGAAGCAATTAAACCCCTCAACAAAGACAAGAAAATTTGGATTTTCATATCCAAAGTGAAAAGCTGCATCACAGAAGAAATTTTCTCCTCCTACATTGCAAAGCATGCCGGTACCTCTAGGGAAAACATTGAGATCAAGCAATGCGACATTAAAAACCCAAATCCAAATCAGTCTCAAAAATATTTTATGATTGGCGTGGACCCAGATCTAAAGGAGCTAGTCCACCAGGAAAGTTTCTGGCCAAGTGGTGTCGCTTTCGAGAGATTCAACTTTGCAATGGGAAAACGTTTTTTAGCCTAAAAGAAAATGGATCAATCCAACAGAAAACACAATGTGTTAAATCAAAAACTGAAGGCCAAGTGAGCATTGCACATTTGAACATTAGAAGCCTAAACACTAAGTTACTCTACAACTAGAGGTGATTCTTGCTCAGGAGGCTCCAGACATTTTTTGCCTATCTGAGCATTGGATGCAGCAGAATGACATTAGAATGGTACATCTTAATGGCTACAGCCTGATGAGCTTTTCGTCCAGATGTGATATCCGAGGGGGAGGCACCGCAATTTTTGCCAGAAAGTGCTGCGTTTGCCGAAATGTTCCCACTAGTCTTGTCTCAATAGATAAATTGTTTGATTTCTCTGTGTCGGAATTCGTGTTATAAAATAAGTTTGTTTGTATTGTTTTAAGCATTTACAGATCGCCCCAGACCGACCTTGATGAGTTTCTCAATCTGCTCCATGTCCTCTTGGACGAGATATATCAGTCCAACAAATACCTGATTATGTGTGGGGATTTCAATATAAATTTTACAACAGATAGTTCTGTGGTTAGAGCATTTTTACAGTTGACATCAAGCTATGGCCTGACTCCGCATGCCACTGGTGCTACAAGAGTAGGTAGATCATCTTGTACTCAAATTGATAATATCCTCAGGTAATATCCCTACCTCTCTGATAAAATACCATACAATCATTACAGACATTTCTGATCATTTTGGTCAGAAGATTTACATCCAGGTTGTTTCCGACAAGAAAAAGCCAATATTTCTCAAGAAAAGGTTTTTCACTCATAACAACATATCTAGCATGCAAAATTCTTTGAGTCGTGAGGATTGGAGAGATATTTACCTTACGGTTGACGCCAATGAACAGTATAACTCGTTCAAAAACATTCTCTTTTATTACTTTGATTTGTCTTTTCCTCTGAGCACTAGCAGATTTAAGCAGAGCCCCTGTTGGGTTACTGCAGAAATAAGAAATTATAGCAATCATGTTAAAGATCTTTATATATTATATAAACAAACAAATAGTCCAAATATTTTAAATCAATACAAAACCGAAAAGAGACAGTATCAAAAGTTCTTAACTGACTTTAAAACAGGATTGAACGATAACAAAGTTGTAAATTCTAAAAATAAAAATAAAGCAATGTGGAGTATATTCAATAAAGAATGCAACAAGAGCAACTCTCAACATAACATCACACTCACAAACAATAACCAAAAAACTACACACCCACTTGAGATTTTAAATATTTTTAAGGGCCTTTTCAACCTTACAGATACAGCAAATCACAATATCAAATATAACATGATTTATTATAACCATCATACCCTGCTATTG